AGCGCTTGCAAACAGTGAAAGATTTAAACCGGGGGGGGGAGGGGGGGGGCGGAAGAAGGGGGAAGGGTTCAGCATGCCCCGATGCCCAGGAAGGGTTAAATGTGTAGGCACAATTGCTCAATCCTAACTACTATCTAACCATAACTTTAGAGAGCTAAACTAGAAAACATGCTAGGGACTAGAAGCTTGCCAAAGCAAGACCACTACAAATTCCAATGCCGACACAGATGGTAAAAAGGAACTGAGGTATATAAGGGTTGATATAGCAGTGCCACTCTAGGGATCTCCACATATGGGAGCTGCTAGGAAAAAAAAAAAAAAAAAAACTTTCCAATGCTCATGCATGTGGCGCACACACACTTGATTGGAATTGATGTGAACAAGCACTCAAAGAAGAATAGCCCAATTTTATTATATCCAAGACCCAACATATTCCCAGGCTTATTGGAAATGCTGTAGATGAGGGCCAAATATGGTGGTATTCGCTGGGCTATTGGGGAGGTTGTTCAGGCTCTCAATCAAAGCTCTGTTGCCTGAAAGTTGGAACACTGCATGTTGTGTCTGCATCAATTTTCAGTGGTCTTTTTTCGCCAGTGATTAAAATTGGGTATCTCCTCTTTTTGTGGGATGTACTTAAAATGCATAGTGTGGCAGGAGAGTATTTCACTGTGTGGAGAACTTCATCTGTTTTTACAGAGGAAAGTTTGTCTTTATCTAACGGTAAGTCCTCTTTTAATTGCATCTCCTTAGAGCATTGTAGCTCCAATCAGACATATCTAAGCATTGTGATACCATTGCAGTCGACTGTATCATGTTTTGGCCATATCCAGGGCTGCTTTTAATGTCATCCTGAAGACTGACCTTCTAAAAGCACTATCATTAGTTCTTCTCTTTTGTCCTCAAGGAAGTCTGAGGCAAATTCAAAGAACTTATAATTCTCATGATCACATCTGGCAAGAAGGGCACTAAAGTTCTCAATGAGGAACTGTAGAGTAGAGGAAGTCTCAGTAAGTGCAGTCATTTGTGTTCCTTGTCCTATGGAATTGCTTGTGGTTGAGTTTGCTGCGCCCTATGGGTTACGGTGTCCACTATAGTGTGTTAGGTTTTGGGTGGGTGTACAGGAAGTCCATGCTCTTCACTAGTCTATAGTACTCCCTATCTGCTTGTTTTCATGTTGGAAGAGCAAGTACCAGTGCCTATCATACGGTCTTATCAAGTTCGAGAATCGCCCCTGAGATGTTGAAAGTGCCTGCCTCCTTTACACATGGTAATCTGTTGATGTCTGTTCCTACTAGCCGCTGAATCCACTACTGCGCTATGCACCAAGGAAGAGGTGCTGCACATAGGGTCTTTCCACTCGGGTTAGATTAGGAAAAAAAGCTGCCTCCGTAAGTAGGATCCTGAGCCTCTGTTCACAAACCTGAAGTGTCCGCAGGTGAAAACATGTAAAAATGCTACACCTTTCTTTTTGGTTCCCTTCACTAAGATACTTTAGGCAATTGGTGTGGGGGCTACTCTTTAGTATAAGCTTGCTGCAGGCCTAGAAAGCTTTAAACCCCAGGAATTCAAGCATGCCAGTTGATAAAAAGGAACTATAGGGTTGGTGGATCAGGAGGGCTATATTTTAGATGCCCAGGCTAACCCGGCGGATGCTGCTGAGGGAAAAATCTTCTGGCTCCCATGCACACACATGACTGGAATGCATATGAACAAGCTCTCAAAGAATAAATCTAAGTATCGTAGAATATATTTTAAAATTCCATGAAACAGATTTATAAAAATGTACTACTAATGTGCATTTTTAAAAATTCTAGGGAGAAAAAGCAGTCACACTGTGAAGAGCTCCATCTGTAGCCAACACAAGATAGCTAGAGCACACGTGTGGCCTGGCCATGAACTGCTATCAAAATGCCTCCAATCAATGACACAAGGACACACAGTCACCTGAAGTGAAACACCTAAAGAGACAGCATTTGAAGTAATAGTATATAATCAGGGAGCATCAAAGAAAAAAAATAGAAAATACAGTATTGTATTAAGAAAACTACTAAACTCTCAAGGGGGAGTTTAAAAAAAGATTCAGTAAGGTAAGGAAACTGGTTCTGAACTTGCTATATTTATTTAAATGAAGATGGTTAACAGCAGTTTTTTAATTCTGCCTAGGCTGATTAAGTTAATGTTCAGTTGCAAACTTCTGAAAAAGCCATAACATTTTTTCAGAGTTACGATCTCCATTGAGAAATTCATATCTCTGAGTTTCTGTTTTGATCACTCTACATTCCAGAAGCATTATTATTCTTTTAAAAAAAAAAGTGTCATTTTATTTGTGATCAATTATTTCCTCTGGAAAGTCCTCATAGTGACGTCTGTGAGCATCAGAAAAATAAAATTAATGCAATGCAAAACATCTCAGTAATAAAGTAATTATGGCCCCCAAATACATTGTAGCATTACTAGACCAATAAGCTGCATTTGTGTGTTTGCCACTGCTAATACCCAT